CCCCCCCCCCCCCCCCCGCTTGCCCACCTCGTTGGCCCTAATTGTGTCTGCGAGCGACATAACAGCTCCGCTCCTCACCGCCAGCTTCCTGAGCGACAAATGAGATGCATGTACCCTTCTGTGTCTGTCTCGCCTCCTGCGTCACGCACTCGACAATTTGTTTGTATGCGAGTCTGCTGATCCGGCAGGGCGTGCGAGCAACCACCCAGTGAGGCATCCGCTGCATCCCGTCGAAGTACTCCACGCCATACACCCGACCCTCCGTCAGATACCGCTCACCGGCCCCGCCAGCCTTCCCAATCTCACCAGGTATCCCATCACCATTAAACTCGATACACGAGTACTGCCGTCGTCTGTGTGCAGCCTTGTCGTCGTCGAGGGCCTCCATCATCGTGTTTGTGCCCACGACACTCTCTGACCTGTGGCGATCCATCGTTGCGGGACTGTCGAAGTCAGCCGTGCCTTTCTTCAGGATTGGTCGTGGCGGCCCGCCGACAGATGAGGGTGAGGGGCTGTCCTTGAGGATGGGTCTGACGCGAGAGGGGGAGGCTGTCTCTGAGTCCACATGGTGTGGTGACTCGGGGGCTGCTGGCACGTGGAGCGATTGAAGAGGGTTGATGGGAGGGGAGGTGGGCGTGGGGTCGTCGGCTGATAGGCGGGACAGGCCGCGGGTGTATGCAGCGGTCATGCCTTCGGACATCTCGAATGACGCCAAACCTGAAGATAATAGACAGACAGACAGACAGAGGAATCGGCATGGCTTTGGTTAACGGAAGGCTTGTGCAAAGGTGTGTGCGTACGTTGATGCTCCTTTGGGCAAGTGATGGCTTCCACCTCGCCAGCCAGCACGAGCAGGAGCTGTGACGTACTGCCGGGCGAGACGATGACGTCTCCCGTGTTGACGTGGCACTCCTCCAGCTGGTCCACACACACGTCCTGCTGCTCGGGCGTCAGCTGACGGAAGAAACTGCACTGCTCCAGTAGAGTCTAGACATACAGACGACGACAAATACTGTCTGTAAGAGACATGAGATGTATAGGATTCACGTGCGGGACCTTGCCATTCAGCCTTGAGAGGACTTGTGTCACGTTGGCAAGAAGCTGATACAAACAGAGGAAAGAGGAGCCGTGTGCGGACCTAAATGTCTCGTCCTGATATATACCCTTTGGAAGGTTGCTCGCCCGATGGACAGGCATTGGACGTGCTCAAGGGCTGCAGACGTGCACAGTCATACAATCAGCTCTGCAGGTTCTCTGCAGTCAGCCAATCATAGTTCACCAGTGGCGGTGACTCGGTGCCGCGTTCCATTCAGAAAGGCAAAGGAGCCGACCAAGTCACCTGCAGCACATGAATTCAACGCACCCAGGCCTGTGTGTGTGCGTATGGTATGCACAAGTTTGCACATGTACCTGTTTTGAGTGTGTTGACTCTGTTGTGCAGTTTGTCTGTGAGCATGACCTTGCCAGACATGATGATGAACATCCACTGAGACATCTCACCCACACGCACCAACACCTCCTGCACACCAACACACACACACATCCATCGATCGACAGACGAACCCCCACACACGTGCATACTTTCTTCTGGAAGTCTTGTGCGATGCAGATGGATGCCAGGTGGCGCTGGTCGGTGGCTGACAAACGGCTGAAGGGAGGGGTCGACTCAATGAACTCTGCACACGCAATGGCGAGACAGTCTCCACAGCGGCCGTCAGCACATGTGCTAACTTACGAAGGGATGCATCAATTTTCTTGCTGTGTACGAGCCGCATCGACCGCCGAAAGGACTAAACAGAACACGGACCTGTGTGTTGGTTTGGGGTAGGTGTTGCTTGTGTACGTCTGCTCACCCTTCCAGACATCATCCAAACGCTTCCTGGAGCGACACACGACACTGTAGCTGTTCTGAAAAGTGAAGACACACATACGAATGCGCCAGGGCAATGCAATCAGAAGCTGCCTGTCGTATGTTTGATTCGTATGTTGTGTTGACCTCTTGCAGCTGTATAGGAGCGCCAACTCGCCAAACGACTGCCCCCTCTGCAAATCCTTCAAATACTTGCCGTCGATGCTCACGCTGAACAACCCTGACTGTATGTATGTTCGCAGGAGTGAACACGCGGCACGCACTGGGCGCCTCTTTGGCAGCCTATGTACCTGGATGAAATAGCAGCCGCCCACTTCCTGTTCGGCCCCCTGTGTGAAGACCACATCGCCCTTCTCATATTGCAGCCTCTGCATGCTGTCGATGATCAGGTCGTGGTCGGCGCTACCCAAGCCGCTGAACAGAAAATGGCCTCGCAGTGTCTGATACACCCACACACACACACACACACTCATATATTATATATGAAAGATATGGAAGCGCTGATTCAGACACAGATAAATCTGTGTCTCTCTCAGCCCGCCAGTTTAACGACCTTTTTGAGGAACCTCCTTTCCTCCATGGAGATGTCGGAGTTAGCGGGCTCCTGGTGCTCGACTGAAGCAGCGAGACAGAGCAGGAGTGGCTGGATACACACGCACACACATGAGACCTATCTGCCTACTTTCAGCCAGGCTCTTCCTCGACACGGCTTGTCCCCTGATAGCAGATCTGTGGAGCCAACAATATGCAGACGACGAGGACCATTCTCTCTCTTTCACGCGTGAAAGTGTGTGTGTCTCGCGCGCTTACTTCCTCTTGTCCTTTTTGGTCCGCATGTGGCTTGGCAGAGTCGGGAAAGTGTCGACAAGCCACACACAAAGAGACAAAGAGACAGACAAGCAGACAGGCAGACAGGCATGATCAGGGAGACGCAAGCAATAAGTCATCATCATCGTGTGTGTTTGTGTGTGCGTCACAGGTCGTCGGGTCCCCTTGGCGAGGCCGAGTCGTCGCTCATGACCTCACTACGGAGGTCAGGACGAGCCGACCTGGAAGATACAGATACAGACACAGACACAGACAAAGACAACACACAGAGCCGGTAGCATATCCACTGTGTTGTGTGTCTTGTGTACACTGTCATCTTGGTCTTGAAGTTGTTGCCGCCGTCATTCGATGAGCCGTCCTGCAGAGAAATCACAACACAAGCATCAGCATGAGTGGCAGACTGCGGGGCCGGACACACTCCACATGATCTCAGTTGTTCGACTCTCTACCATGCAGTGAAGTGGGCCTGCCTTTGTCTTACGTGTGTGAGCAGCTCGACGCGTTCCATGCTCTGTCGGCAACCCATAACGACAATCGTGACCTCGATGCCTGCAGGGTTCCAAACCCTGCGAGCTTAGACTTGCAAGGGACACGGCGAAAGGAAAGTCTCAGCAGGGGGACCCGGTGGTCGCTGGGTGTCACACATCACCAGCGAGAGTAGTCGTCCATGTCTGAGTCGTCATCGACACATCCCACGGTGCCCTCGTCGTACGAGGCGGAAAACCAAGATGGGCCGGAAACCAAGAAGACGGTGCGGCAAAACAGAATCTCAGCAACGATGCTCAGCGTAAGCCGCACACACTAATGCAGGCAGCCATGGAATGGATAATGCCACACAGGCCCAGATCCCCCTCTCCCTCTCTCCCTCTCTCTTTCTCTCTCTGATCTGTGACGGATGGATGGGTAGATTATGGAGCGGCAGGTGTGGTGAAGTGAATGCAGCAAGGACCATGGCACACACATGCATACATAGCCTTCTAGCTGCACTACCCGTCGGTGCATGTGCTTGTGTTGACTGCAGGTGCATCAGCTGCGTCGTGAGCTCGTGGACTTCTTCCTGCTGGCAGGGGACCCCAAGCTCACTAACAGCCAGAGGAGCATGCTGCCGGTAGGTGCACGTGTGGATCAAGAGATCAATCAATGAATGGCATGCATGGCTGTGTTGCTGTGTGGTTTATGTTATGATGGGATGGATGCCACCAGCCCTTTGTCGACGTGATTGTATTCGGCCCCTCCGGCAGCGGCAAGAGCAGCCTCATTCGCACATTCTACAGAGGTAAGTGCGTAGACTAGACGAGTCCCAATAACACGAGTGTGTCCATTCCATGTACTGTACGCCTGTCTGTCCAATCCAATCAGCGCTGCACAACACGTCGGTGCTCCCGCGGGACCTCAGTGAGAGGGTGGTTGTGCAGGACACCTTGCGGAACGAGGGGACCACGCAGTACGTCAAGGCGGTCATCAAACAGCGGGAACAGGACACTGACGGACGGCCGACGTCATCGGGAATCATACTGCATGGTCAGCCAGCGCGGCGTGGCGTGAGATGGTCTGTGTGCACTGCAGTGGATGTATCTTATCTGCTGTGTGTGTGAGTGAAGATACGAGGGGCCAGATATGGATGGATCGCAAGGAGCAGCAGCAGCTCGATGTCATCATACAGGTAACCTAGATCTGATCCATCATTAGGCGCACTGCCGTTGGTACTTACTGTCACGTGTCGGCAGGGTCGCATCAAAGACGACGTCACAGTCGAGCAGCGCGATCGAAGATACGGTAGGAGGGAAGGAGGGGAGGGAGGGACACAAGTACGTTGACCGACAGACACGTTTTGACTGAGTAGTTGGCTCATCCTTCCGTCAGCCCGTTTGTTGTGGGAGTTTTGGAGGTCGGAAGCAGACCTCTTCCCGCCTGAAATACTCAATAAACGATCAGGTTGGTGCCCTTCCAGCGCGCACACACTCACGGACCACACGCACAAGATGCAGTCATTCTTGCATCCATCAGGACTGGCCACGCGGCCCCACGCGTTGATTTTTGTGTTTGATGGGAGGTGCGCAGACAGACAGACAGACAGACAGACAGCCCGCTGCGGACAAGGGCACGGTGTGCTGTGGTGTGTTGTGTTGTCATGCAGCATGGATGAGATTCCCAATGGCGAGGAGGAGACTGATTTCTACAGAGAGGTCATATCCATGGCGCGGCGGAAAGGTACACAACCACACACACGTTGTCCATCCATCCATCCATCCATCCGTGCATTTTATCTGCAGGTTACTACTATCCGCAGATAGTGCTGACTCGTATCGACAAGGTGGAGCAGCAGCTGCCGCAGGACGTCAGCCAGGCAGAGGCGGAGGTCATCCTCAGGCAACGACTTGGTACAGACACACACGACGACGAGTCGCACACAGGGAGAGTTTTTCTCGGTATGTGTGTGTGTGTTGTCTGTAGACTCCAAGATCGAGGCAGTGGTGCTCAACCTGGGCGTTTCTCGGTCGTCGGTGCACTTTATCGAAAACTATCACGCCGACGGAAGTAAGTCAAGTCTAGAGGGCACAACCACCGACCGTCACACACCCAACCCATGTGCCGTACCTACTTGTGTGTGTGTCGTGCAGTGTGTCAGGATCTGTCCATCGACTTCCACGCGCTGCGTGTGCTGCACGAGTGTGTGCAGCACGGCGACACATTCATCCGCTCAGCTATGAAGAACCGACCAAGGTGTGTCATCCAATGAGATGAGTGGGTGACCCACAGAATCGGCGAATGGGTGGGTGCGTTCAGCGCCTTTGGGCTGGTTGGTATGTGCGGTGGGTGCAAGGGGGTGGAGATGTGGTTTGTGTAGCATAGGAAGAACGAAGGGTTTTTGCTGTGTGTCGAGTGAGACATTTGGCGTTTTATGGACGTAAGAAGGACCATTAAGCGTCCCGCGATGCTGGACCAATGGGTGTTGTGCGATGCGATTTGATGAGACCGTACAGTACATGGTGTGTGCCGTGTCGGCCGGTTGCTGTCGAAATTTGTGTGCATCTGAGCACTGCGGTGCGTAGGTGTGTTCATTGCGCCGTTGTACAATTTGTCTGTTCCCTCCCTCCCTCCCCACCAGCCGTTCTGACACACCACACAGCAGGCAGGCAGGCAGGCAGCTACGGCCACAGAAGCAGCAGAGGCCTTGACCGATGGATGCGTGGATGTGTAGAAGGTGTCTGTCTGTCTGGCCGTCTGCTCTGTCTGTCTATCACTACGCCCCCTGCCTGTCTGCGACTGCGGGTGTGGCTGCTGCTGCCGTGCTGCAATGGTGGTCTCACGGTATATCTATCTCTCTACGCTGCTTGTCTGTCTGTGCGTGTGGGTGTAGTCGATCCCCGTCTGTCTGTCTGTCTGTAGGGTGGCCGCAGCTCAGTATACACAGCGCAATCTGGTGTACATCACATCAGCCACCACACCCCACCCACCCAACAGCCAGACAGCCCATCCGTCCATCCATCCATACTTACAACCATAAACCCGCACACCCACACTCACTCACACCCACACCCACACCCACACACAGCCAGCCACTCTTTGTTCTCTCGCTCCTTTGCTTATCTATCTCTTGCCCGCATCCATCCGTCCATCCATCCATCCATGTGCACGTAGGATTGGTTTCTATGTTGCTTGGTTGGTTGGTCGGCGACATGGCATGGTTTGGTGTGGTGTGGTGTGTGTCACGTCCAGATGGGCCAGGGGCAGCAGACGTCCGCCACGTACACGTTCTCGCCAACACTCACTATCAACCCAGCTGAATAGACAGACAGACAGACAGAAATGCGAGCACAAGTGTGGAGGGAGGGAGGGAGGGTTTGTTTCTTCTTTCGGGTCCCCTTACTTACTCTCGTGCAGCTGTATGATCTGCAGCGGGTCATTCCAGCCCACTGAATTGAACTGATCCACCTGATATATATGATCGATGAAGATGTGGACACACACACACACAATCGTCATGCCTCCCTCTCTCCCTCTCTCCCTCCCTCCCTCCCCTGTGCATGTATACCAGTCCGAGGCACTCTCCCCTGCCCGGCCTGTCGTGCCTGGCGCGGTACACCGCTATCCGACCGTCGTGCTTCGTCAACCCATACACCTGACACACACACACACAAAACACACGGACACACATCCATTGCCCCTTCCTCCCCGGCCCACCCTCCCTCCCCTCTGTGTGTGCCCCCGTACGGCCTTGTCTGTGACGCGGAAGTCCTCGACTGTCCAGGGGAAGAAGTGCGTGATGCCGGCTCGGTTCTGGCACGACCGCATGGAAAACGGCAGACCCTCGCGCAGACAGCTCGACGACAGAGGCGACATGTGGGGGTCCGTCACGATGGGGTCGGGCTTCGGGGGCAGCGCCCTGCTCACGCCCACGCCCATCTTGCCCATGCCCATGCCCATGCTCGGGTCCACGTCCATCGCCACCACATGAGGGCTGGGGCTGCCGTGGTCGGTGTGGCGGACCTTCCTCTTGCGCTTGGTGCCGCCCCCTGCTGCTGCTGCTGCTGCTGTTGGTTGGGAGGGGGGTGCGTTGGTGAGCCTGGGGATGCCGTCAGCGGGCGTCTCGCAGTCGGTTGATGTCGTGGAGGTGCCGCTCGCCGCCTTGAGCAGAGACGACGGTCCCAACACTACTGACAAGACACCACCCACCCACAGTCGGAGAAAGGACACATCATGTCATGTGTGTGTATGAGATTCCTTCGGTTCCTCGTTCCTCCGCACCAGAGTTGAAGCCGAAGTTCATGACGCCCGACGGGAAGACGCCCCCAAACCCACCGAATATCGACGTGGCCGACGCCGGCGATCCCCCGCTGGCACTCTTGTCTTCATCAATGTCAACCATGCCACTGCCACCCACACCCACACTGCCCCGCCTCTCGTGCTGCTCCTGGTACTGCTGGTGTGCCGTGGTTGTGGTGTTGCCGATGGCCGTGCCCATCAGCAGCCCTCCGAAGATGCCCCTCCGCTTGACGTCGCCGCTCATGTCGAGATCCGTGCTGCCCCGCCGCTTCATCGCTCCCTTGCCCCGTACCACCACCCTGCTGCCGCTACCCACACCCGCCAAACACGCCAAAGCAGACTGTCTCTTCTTGTCCTCCATGGCTGTGGCTGTGGTGATGCTTGTGCCTCTTCCTCTGCCTGTGGCTGTGGCTGTGGGGGGGTGGAGTCCGTGTGCACGTCGCCACGAGGGTGTGAGGATCTGTTTGTGTGCGAGAGGGAGGGGCGAGGGCGGCTTGGGGTCCAGCTTCTTGTGGTAGGTCTCGAGGGCCGTCCACGTGCGATCGAGGGCCGTCCATGCGGTGCTGAAGACCGTGTTGGCGGGCGGGATGATCTGCGTCGACGGCAAGAGGGACGTGTCGGGCTGCCCGATGAGGCCTGTGGGGGGCCGCTGGAGCAGTGGCTTAGGCAAAAACGTTGGGATGGGGCCGGGGCTAGGAGGGTCGGGGCTGCGGTCCACGGGGGCGTAGCTGAATCGGATGACACAAAGGGGACATCGGTGTGGTGTCTGCGTGGGGTTGTTGTTCATGTGTGTGTGTGTGTCTGTGTGCCTACCGGAGGTCGATTTGCCGGATGCGCCCCCATTTCTCCCCAGTGCGCGCTACGACATTGCAGAACACGCTCACATCTGAATTGCACACATGGATGGATGGATGGAGCAAAGACACACATGCCAGTACCTATGGTGTGTTCGCTACATTGATTGGTTCTCACTCACCGTGCACGCGCAGGGGCCACAGCATCTGCTTGTTCTGCGCTATCTCATGCACAATCCTGCGCAAACCATCACAGAGAGAGAGAGGGACACGCACCACCCAAACCGTGAGACCATGTGCGAGTCTCTTACCTCTCTCCCTCTCTCTCTCTCTGTGTGTGTGTGTGTGTGTAGTGGGCTGCGGACTTTTGCTGTGTCCTCATGTCGAGTAGCAGGATGGAGAATGTGCCATCGCTGCTGCGCTCGCCGACGGCCACGACCTCCGTGACGCTCCTCTTGCCCGTCAACTCCAACGCGTGAATCCAACGATCTACACCCACATCGCATCCACACACGCGTGAGGACCACATCATGCGTGGGGGTGGGACATCCATCCCCCCTTCCCCAATCCGCCCCTTGATTGATTGACTGACTGACCTTGTGTGATGTGTGGTTGGAACCTGAGGTCTTCACCGCTCATCAGATCCCACAGGCCGATGCCCGCTGATATACAGATGGACGGATGGATGGATGGAATGAGAGGCGTCAGAGGATATGGTGTGTGTGGTGTGGTTGTCTGTGTGTGTGTGTGTGTGTGACCAGGGAATCGTCTGGCGGTTTTGACCGATATGATGCACTTCTCGCGGCTGATGCGCAGATCGTTGACCTCCACATCACGACTGTATATGGCCGCACACACGCATACAAACACACCCACACACACGTGAAAACAGAGAGAGAGGGACATCCATCAGTTGACGCACCCGCAAGGGCAAGTGTGTGTGTGTGTTTGGTTGGGCGAATGCAATGCCTACGTGTGTTTGCGCGCCTGTTCCCTGAACGAGTTGCGGTTGTAAATGCGGATCGTCCCGCCGTCGTCACCCGCAGCAAACATCTCAGAATCAACTGCACCACACACACACACGCTTATTGTGGTGTTTTGTGTGTATACGAATGGCCGGTGTCAGTCAGTTGTATATCATACTATCGAGGCAGTTGAACCCCGGTGAGGCCATGCAGACCGACGACACCTCCTGGCGGCTCTCGCGATCGAACACCTTCACCCAGGCCTCCCCGCTGTTGGCACGACTGAACCAACCAACATACAAACAAACCAACAAAGCATTCTCCCGCCCCCTAGCCTCCTCTCTC